AACCAACAAGTTAGCTGAAGAGAATATATTTATATTACTATTGGATCAATAGTTAATTATATATTATTTTACATTCATCTGCTTAAGAAATTGTTCACTTAGTCATATTTCTGTGTTGACTTCTGGAACATTATACCTGTTATATAAACTTGCTGATGCCAGAATATATTTGCAATTTTTGGCAGTCACACACGAAGCGTGAAGCGGAGGAGCGACTGAGTGAGGTTAGTACTTTTGCGAGCACATTCTTTTCTATTGGATTTCTCCTTCATCTTTTAATAGCTCATGCCTGCAGGGAATGAAGAAAATTGAAGAAATTTTTAATAATGAAGGGGAAGCTGTGGATGAACTTTTGCATATTGCCAAGGTAACCTCACTTGTGTGAAATTTAATGAACTAATAGAAGTGCATACTGTATTCTTTACGGGTGTTGTGTGCTGTACACCAAGATATGTTGTTACCTTGTTAAAGACATTCCATATTTTTCATTGTTCAGTTCATAAAAAGTTGTGACCACGAAACTTTATTGGCTCGCGAAGAATGTCCGATATGCTAATTTATTATGGGTTACTGGGGTAAATTATTGAACAAACAATGCTTGCAACTCTTAAACTGTTAACTCTAGCTGCTCAGAATAGGAGTTGAACTACGATTTGAGTAAAATATAAAGAAAGACAGTGCTAATAATTGGGTGATCTTTTCTGAATTCTTTTTATCATCGTAGGTTCTATTAAGCAGAGCTGATAAGTAGTTAAATTGCTGAATGAAGATACATTTGTTAAGTTTATGTTTAACAAGTTTGCATTGCAGACTCTACGAGCGATGCCAGTAGTTGATCTTGAAACACCCACATTGTGTCTTATTGGGTCACCTAATGTAGGAAAGTCGTCTTTGGTACGTTTACTATCGACAGGAAAGCCCGAGGTATGTACCAGGATCGTTAGATCTCATGTTTTGTCCTTTCTTGAATTAGCAAAATTAGGGGGTTTTCTTGATATGAAATGGCTAGATTTTTATTTTATTTTGATCTCTGGTATTGCAATAGAGTGACTTTAATTAATCTGAATGTTGTTCACATATACGCAAAGAGTAAATAGTTGGTACAAGATGAAAATGAGCAAAATATTATGATTTTTGCCTGAAAATGATTTCATAATTATGCGAGTGCACAGAGATCTTGCCTGCCCTCTCTGTCTGAGGAAATTTAATTTATTTTTCTTTTCCAATTTCACCCGAAATTGTTGATAGTAGAAAAAAATGTTGAGAAAATGGAAAATGAAACGGAACAAAAGGAGAAGAATCTAATGTCTTCATTTGAGGAATTGCGTTTGAGGTAAATAAAGAAACTCCAGGACTCATTTTTTATATTTGTTGAATAATTTTTCATGCTCACCTTAAAATATCAAATTATATGGCTGAAAACTACGTCTGTGTTGCCTATATATTATAATGCCTTTTTGCTATAAAATTTCCTCATGTTTACTTGACAACCATATGCTGCTCTTCTTTTCGAAAGCACTGAAAACTGATGGATATAAGCCAGCAAACTGCACTGATTCTGCTGCTCTAATGATGTCTCAGGTTTGTAATTATCCTTTCACAACAAGAGGAATTCTGATGGGTCACATGACATTGAGCTACCAGAATTTCCAGGTTCATATTTTTTGGGAGATTTATTTTGATGCAATGTCTCTCCACTGTTGTTAATATCTTAAAGCTACAGCATTTGTCTTCAGGTGACAGATACACCTGGTCTACTAAGAAGACACGATGGTGAGTTACTTCCTATTGCTATTCCACCTTTGTATTTTAGTGAACTAAATACTCAAGTACATAGAACTTTCCATTTCCCGGAGTGGACATGCATGTAGCACTTGAGTATCTGAGTGGGGATAAATGACAGTAATTATCTATGTGCACTTATTTTGTTCTATGGTTGAGTATACCTTTCATTTATTTTTAAAATCTTGTAGAGAAAAGGAATAATTTGGAAAAGTTGACGCTTGCCGTCCTCTCCCATTTGCCAACTGCTGTTCTCTATGTCCATGACCTCTCTGGAGAATGTGGAACCTCCCCTTCTGATCAGGTAATTCATCTGTTTGAGCAAGGAATTGTACAGCTTCTTTATTAATTGAAATAAAATAATTGAATATGTATAATCTTGAGTTTGCTTGTCATTTTGAAATTTTTGGGATAAAAAAGGAAATTAAATAAAACTCAATATTATGGTGCATGTTCCCTACTGAAACTCTTTTACTTCAAGACCATGAGTTACCCAAGTTCCTTGTGCTAATACTTGTTATGATTTCAATGTCGTAGTCTTGTTTTCTGATTTCATTCCCTTCATGCTAATAATATATTCATTCTTTTATTGGATTGATCAGTTCATCATTTACAACGAAGTAAAAGCAAGGTTTGGCGACCATCTATGGCTTGATGTAGTGTCTAAATGTGATCTGCTAAATGATTCCCCAGTAGTCTTCGTCACAGAAGATAGTAGAGCTGATAATGTTGAGCTGGCAAAGTATCGTACGGTGGGACCTGAAGGGGCAATACGTGTATCTATCAAGGATGAATTGGGTATTCGTGAGGTGCGTATTTGGGCCAATCATGAGATTATTTTAAAAGGGAATATTGCACTGTTTATTATGTTACGGTCAATGAATTTATCTTCCTTTACAAAAAATAAAAATGCCCCAACTGGTAACAGCCAAAAGGATTGATAATGCTGGTTTTAGACTGTCTAATTTTGTTAAGTACATATACACAAGTTACTTACGAATGGAAAATGTGATTAATTATTTGATCACATATTCTTGCACTTATGAAAGTTACAAGTCTAATGATACGACTGTATATATATGTATCCTTCTCTCGTTTCATCAGATGGAATAAGATGTTTAAGATAAAACCATTTATAGAAATTCTCATTTTACCTGCTATATATGTGGAATGCAGTTGAAGAATAGAGTGCGCGAGCTACTAGTTACTCAATCTGCAAAGCTAAAAATATCTGAAAGCAAAGTCCTTGAAGATCCCAAATGATCAGATTCTCATCAGATTCTCCTGTGGAAATTTCACCACTATGCCAAGAAGTTACTCAAAACAGTTGTCGTAAATAGCTGATGATGAGATAGGGCCTGCTGATCTGTATGAGACTCGATATGACTCGGTTTTCTGACTTGGCTTGGTTGAGGTAAAATCCATGATGGGCCAAGACTTTTGAGATGAGGAGATGAGGGTATCTGGAGGAATATGTGAGGACTTTTGAGTGAGGCATACATTTGCACTCATTTGTTGTGAGCTCCTTTATATGTTTTTGCTCGTTCTTTCTTTTCTTTTCTTCTTTTTCCCCATTTTAATAGTTTTGCATCTCAAATGTAATTAATGTATTGTTAGTTCTGCCATTGAAAAACACTGCGCAACATTGAGAAATTGCTGTGAAGTAACAAGAATTGTGGTTTCACTAGCATTTGCAAATATTAAGTAATGGTGGGAGTGTTGTTTATTGGAGGTTGCATAATCTTGGTTGATTTATCAGAGGCTGTTACCAAAATGGAAGCTGCATACATAGCCTTATTTTTTGTCAGCAGTTGAAACAAAATATAGCTTATGACAAAAGGCATGCCTGTTAAGTTGGAAATGAAGTGTATTTCTCAAATCTACATGAAGAAAAAAATGGAACATTATTCTCCACAAAAATATTGATGATCCCTTCCAATTGTAAAGGATATTGATGATCACCTTGTCGAGGAGAACCAACAATTGGTCGAGGTATGACATGAGCTGGCTTAGCAGCTAAGAAAAAGTGGGCTCCGTCACAAAGACGAGCTTAGGGCCAAGGACGCTGAACTCGAGTGAGAGGATTGGCGCATGGAAGAGGTGGGCCAGGCAGGAGTTGTCGATGCGGGGCGGGCTTGAGAGTTGCTGTGGTCGACGAGCATCAGCAATAAATTCCTGCAAGAGTACTTGAGATGTGATAGAGGACTACCACAAATCTACAGCTTTTCTTAAAAAACGCCTGGACACTCGTCATGGATTGACATACAACTGGCATGTATGAGGTCGAGAAATAGATTCGCACCGTCGAATTCAACGGGTCGCTTGTTCA